TGATTAACAAGACTAAATAGTGTGTGCCCCATCAGTGTGCCGAACGCTTCCTAAACCTTCCTTTCTGAATTTTCACGACTGTTGAAGTTGCTGAAGTCTAGAAGTGAGGTGAATGGAATTGCTCCTAACCATTGTCGTGCCATTTAACCCTCATTACGCGTCGAAGCGATCGCTGTTGTACACAGCTACACCGCTGTTCTATGTTATTCGTTAAATTAACTGTCCGTATGCCGTACAACAATATTTACCTGCTGGAGGTAAAATAAATTACATTTATTTCTGGGAAGAGTCACTCCTTTCTCAGACAAACGGCATTAACATTTTATCATCTTTGCCCATTTCACTTATTTACTTAATTTATTTATTTACTTACCAATTCACTTATTTATCCTGAATCTAGGGTTGGCAGCCAGTAATTTAAGGACGAAGTGGCAGGTCTACGTAATTTGTTCTCATTTTTTAATTTTTTATTCCCTTACCAACTTCAGACGCTTCATTATACACCCTTGCAGAGAAAAAAAATCGCAGACCTTGGAGATATGTTATCTTCTATCAGTATCTTAAGTATTACGTATCGGGGTCGGTATCGAAAACTCCACTCATTGAGTCTACCCAAAAACAACGGAATTATGTTATCGCTTAGAGATATCACTTCATCAAGGCCTCTTGTGACAAAATCTGCTTGGTCACATGATATTAATATTAGTTTCCATTGCGAATGTATTTTATTAAACACAAATTCAACGAAATGAATCCATTCGATAAGACATCATTAAATGTTAAATATCTCATGCAGCATGGGCTAACTAAGTACTCAGCTGTAATTCGAAATCTACAGCAGCATCGTGCACCCACCTGATTTCAGTGCAGCTTAAAACTGCTACCGTAAATAATGGATTCGTTATTCTCAATGCAAGTGTCGAATAACTTATCCAATGCCAAATTTCATAACGCATTCCACCGTTTCTTGGGGCATTTAAACAGACCACGGCTCCATGGAGTTGAATTCCTGTGGGACGAGGTTCATATCGCATCGCTTAGTTTGTCATAACTATATTGTTCATAACTAATGACTTTTCATAGCTGACAGTCTTCCATTCTACGTACAGGTACGAAAACACGTTCATACGCCGGAGTATATCAAATAACTGTCAATTCTTCTAAAGCCAGATTTACATCTGTCGATAATAACTACTTGATTCTTGATCGATCGTGGTCGGTGTCAGCAGAGATCATCTTTGGCTCATCGTGATTCCAATGCCAGTCCGTGAGCACCATTGAGTTCATACCTTTAAGTTCGCTCTCTGCATCAATCTGAACCGGCTTTTCCATTGGTCGTCTCTATCAGTTGGATATTAGGTGTCATTGCCATGGTCTTTCTGTCATTTTCTCTTTTGTGCAACGCTACCCAACCATCATGACAGAATGTATTTCATGATTTTTAATTCTCCGCAGTTCATTTTCAATAAATTTAATAAATTCAGAATAATTTTCATTTCCACAATCCTTACCAATTCCTGATCTTCGGGTACATTGTCAGTTATGACCAATTTTCTTCAGTGTTGCACGTTATGCTGACTGATACACTACATAATCAGCTGGTAGGCGGGATGAGTGGGAATTGCTTCCAAAAGAGAAGCTTACATCAAACAGCATGACTATATCTTTCGACCATTCAGGTATGACCATTCCAGAATATCAGGATGTCCTTGCTGCTCAATTTTTCGGCCAATTGCATCGCAACAACATAAGAGGCATTTCCCGCTCACGGAAATTCGCGGCTGTGACCAGTTCATGCCTTCTTTGGACGCGAACCGGTCACGTTCGTCGTTCGGAATCGACTTCTTTGCCGTCATGCCCCTGCTTCTGAAAACATGATTTTAAGTTTCGTACTACCACCCTGGAAATTCTGATCAGTTTCTTCATATTTCCGTTTACCTTTAACAGAATATAGTTAATTCTTGGATTCAAACTGAAGAGAAATCCCATACCTTTTTCATCGAATGACGTAAATTAACATCACTCACGCCACTCGCATTAAACAAAAACAGAAAATGTGCTGTAAAAGTGAGCATCAATCTAAAATTTTCTGGACGCATTATGGCATTTATTATTTTAAGAGATGTGAGAGCATATGCACACATCCGCGATGAATTTAATAACGGTGACAGGTGCTCTTTTTACCACTGTTTGATGACCAAAATTTAAAAACGTTATTCAGTTCCAGTCACAGAGCGATACTGTGACTTTATGGGCAATTCACTTGCATTGTTAGAACCGGCTTTAATGGGTAATTGATAATTGAGCAGACGATTAGTTCGACTAAATATCTCACTTACTTTAAGGCGCCAAAGAGATACGGTTCTGACGAATTATGCACGGGGCACGGTTCCTAAATCAATAGTGCTACGAATCGTGCATATGTTTGTGTGACGACTACCTGGAGCCGTTAGCATGAGCAGAACGTCTCTGGTTTGTGACACCCTCCGTATTCACAGACCCGTAGTTCTGTTGTATGTACAGCTTTGCGAAAAAACCGAGCTAAGCGCCACGCTATGAACTATATGAAGAGAAATGGACGATGATGGCGGCCATCATAGAAATGCTAATCACAAAGGTTATGAGTCTCCCTGTCTGTTCATGGTAGACATCATAATCTGGGCAAATACGCAAACTATGGAGTGATAAAAGTAGGTACAAATCCATTTTAATGCTCGCAATGTGGAGAAGCATTATCGAATCCAGGGATTGCATACCAGTCGATATATGTTTTACCGTTAATGCCTATGATCTACATGAAGCTTGGGGGATAATTGCAATGATAAAGTCTTAAGCGCATTTCACATTAAGCCTAGGTGTGTAAAAACGCCTTCGAGTACGTGATGTAATAAGTTCGTCCAGTGAGATCTATAACATTAATAAGAACCTCAGGAGTAGTCCTAATATTTTAGGTCCCAATCAGTTTCTGAACAAGCAAGGATTAGCCTAGTCCCGAGAAGATGGAAAAGAACCACTAGATGAAGAATTGAACATTAATTACAATGATCATTTTGGTGCTGCCGATGACCCCCATTAAACGGAGGGTGCAAATATGTGTATTTGTGTCCATGGAGAAAAGTTTGAGTCTTTACCTCAGTAAAATGTTATCATTGATCTGCAAGAAGTACCTACTCGTACGGATACGTTTTCTTCTCTAAAGTCAGGTTCGCCTATATGAGTTACTCTGCTAATTTTGCAGTTCAAGAAATCCGGCTGCATATCTTACTAACTTGGAGTACGTCGGTGATGTCGTCCTGATATGCAGCATAAATAGCGGGACTTGTTACCTGACGGATTCGGTATGCAACAGCGTTGCGAAAATTGGCCATACCTCAAATCTGGAAGTTTAAATTTATGAGAAGCCCATCAAAGATGATCTGCAAGCGAAAGTGATAGGAAAACTATAAAGTAGGTTGACCATGTTAAGTACCTCTTTTCCATGTTCTTCAGCGACGGTACCATCCCGACAGACTTAAAGCAGGATCACCTCTGGCTTGCAGTGCTCTTGCTGACCTGTTACAGTTGTTTCCGCGGAAAACCCCGTTAAAAGGATTATAGCTCAACCACATCTGTTTGCTAAATCAATCAATGAGGAAAAAATTTTCCTCGACGTTGACCTTCTAGACAAAATCACAAAGGAGGAAAAGGAAAACTTTGATTTCGTCAACGCCTTAAACGTTGCCTCAGGTGAAGCGATAGCCTCGTCATGGCACTCCGAATCACCAATCAAGACAGATTTGAGGTTCAGCAGTACTGTAGCGCCTAGACGTTTCAGCAATGGCACAACAAAGTGGCATTCATTAATCATCATTAACGACGTGTTTGTCGGCGAGGCGTTAAGCGTCGTGGCCGTCGGCCGCTCCGTTTCTTCGGTCGGGTGGCCACGGAGGACAGCGAATGCTTCGTGGCGACCGACGGGATCCGGACCAAAACGCTGTCGTAGTTTCGCGGCAGTAATTCGCGTAGCTTAGCGTTTTTCTGCTTTCAGCTGAGGATCTACCAGACACACCGAGGCAATGCAAAAATAACGAAACTCGTCGCTGTCCGCCCATCGGCTGACGGTCGCCAAGGGCTTAGAACGACCATGAGACACTTAGGCGGTGCTCTTTGGTGATTTGGTGACGTCACCGGGACCACGACGATTTTACTCGTTGTCAAACTTCGTCATAAGTTTCGTGAGTCTTGTCTCCGGCACCGTAGACCAGTTGTCGGTCCTCAATTTCGTCAGTCCTGGATGACGTAGCTTAAAAGGAGTACGGTCAAATCTACATCTAAGAATGCTGTTCATTGCCGCAATGCAAAACTGCCAGCAATTAGTTTAACCGATTACGGCCGTTAATTGCATTGATGTCGCACATGTGGAACTGGCAGAAGAGGAGATCGAAAAAGAAGCGCCTCTAGCGCTAATGACAGCCGGAGGCGGTGGTCGAGTTGGAGGGATAATATCAGAGATGTTTACCGTGACTCGGACAAAATACGTTACCCGAGGATGCGTCAAGGTGGTCCGTGAGTGAAAACAGAGGCCTGACACAAAAGTGCTGAAAAATGCATCAACTTTATTCACTTCTCGGAATGTACCTAACTCACTTGTAGTGTGCATTGATTGCCTCTGCGTGCTGATCAATACCGTTCGATACTGGCCTGGCTCGCCGGTCTTAACTTGACATGCCGGCGGCGTCGCCTCAGCACCACGCGCGCGTTTCTTTGCCGGGTCTCGCTCGACATTTACTGTTCTAATCACACACAGAACAAAACAGAGAAAGTCGTTCGGATTGCAACTTTAGTTGTAACTCTCTGAGGTACGTGAGGTGCATCCGGAGCTGACCGTAGAACCTTGGGACCCGACGTTCGCGTTAAAACTTTCCGATACGAAAAGTCAAAGCTTCCGGCGTCGTCGAACCTCTAGTGCATAAATTATTCAGACAACTCACGGCAAAGCGGTGGGAGTCACACTCGGCAAGAAGTAACTTACAGCGGAGGTCGGCGACAGCGCGGCCAGTAAGAAATGCCGCAAGAAGCACCAGGTTGGCAAACGCTGCACTCTCTCGCTCTCCGCCTCTTCTACTGCCCTCGCCCTCTCGCGGCGATTCGGCCGGCCATCGCTTGACCAACGCCAGTCAATCGCACACGGGACCGGACCAGACCGGACCGGATAGGGTCAGCTTGGGTCGGATCGGCTCGGCTCGGCTCGGCTCGGATCGGATCGGATCGACTTGTCCTGCATGACATAGCCAATGGCCATCGAGAACGCGATGCAACGATTAAGTGCTGCCGGCGGGCCCCACCACTGCTGAACGATCGCCGCGTGTTCGATGGTGACCGTGAACATGATCACCGTTGCGCTTGCCGCAGAAGCTCACACTACCGTCGTCGTCCTCACTGTCGCCTCCGCCGCCGGTGCGAAATCAACCGACACACCGACGCGGCTGTGACCCAAGATATGCAATGTTCAAGCATCGCAAGGTAAGAGTTATTCCTCCGTAACAGCCGTTGCAAGTTGCACGTACTCGTTCACTCCTCGTCACTGACTGCCGGAAACGGAGTCTCGGCTCGCGAACAAACATTTGAATTTCGTTTCCTGGTCGTCATGCCATTCGACTGACATTCGTTGCTGTCAACCTCGGTTTTTAGTCAAGCTATAAAAGCCGTGAGGCTGGTGATCATCCATTCCCGGAGTAGAAGACTTATTCGAAAAGAATTACTAATACTCAGTGCTACTTTGCGATCGTTATTGCCACCAGAGAGTACTCGTTGCGGCGGTGCTCCGTTATCGTACAATCCGCTGTGATGACTGGCCTCCAGTCATTCACTACGACAGTACTGATGTATTTCGTAAAGTTTTTTTGTTCGGCCCAAATCAGGACCCTTGTGTTTCGCATTTACGTACTTCAGGTCCCTAAGTGCTGTAAGAAAGGAATGAAGAAGAATAAAGCTTGTAACCATCGGAACGACGGTCTTCGTTAGACTTTAATTGGGGTTATTTCTGTCTCTTCGTTTCGTGAGCTTAATGATAAAGCGCTGATCCTCATTTCCACTAAATCAATCAGGAATACCTTATTTATTTCAAAGGCAGAATCGACATCAGTTATAAGGAAAGCTTAGTGTGTGGGGTCCTGTTTCCTTTCCACAGGTTCGTGCTCATTTATCACTCTCTGGAGGAAGAAAGGCGAATGTGCTCGGGAAATGTCCGTACTGAATGAACATCCGCTATCTGAAGCAACTTGGGGTAAATTTGTGATTAACACGAAGATTGCTCCTCCATCGCAATCGAACTCACAACCTCCTGAGTTCGAAGCTGATCTCTCTGGAGCTGTGCTACATTGACTTATAACCATGATCAGTTTAAATGCGTCACAAGCTGGAGGACGATTATGCCTTGCCACGTAACTCAGGGTCATGCTTCCCGACTGTACTGGTGCAAACAAACATTATTTGGTTGTCATAAAAATTCTGCCAATTTTATAACCTCAACTTCGAGATTTGATATCTAAATTCAAAACAAAGTTTTGAATTAAAAGAAGTTCTAATAAAGTCAGTTCTGGTTGCCAACGAGTTATTTTGGTAAAAGCAAGATTCTTGGAGTCAGTGATTATCTTAGAGTCGGTCATTACCAGAAAATTTTCATTGTTACTCGGTTGGATTCATTCTTTCCTAGATGAATCAGTGTAGACGTTTTCAATGAGTGTAGTCAAGAATTGTGGAGAAACGCCAGGAGAATGGAATGACCGAGGGCGGACTTCTTATACCTTGTAGTTCGGTTTCCGACAGTAATCTAAGAAGAATTTTATGGTGATGTAAGATTGCTGCTCTTCACTTCATTTTGGTCGGACGCAGTTGGCGCAGCTTCTACTTGACAAGGACCGTTCATGGCCACATCTTTCTGTCGATCGGTTCATCCGGTTTTAGAAAGTTATGGTAGATGAGAAGAGTTCCAACGTATCAGTCCACCGGCAGAGACTGGGTTTTGAGTAATATTGTTTTTACCTCTGGTCTGTCGAGTCACTTTGCTGATTATCTGCGGTTGTCGCAGAGAAACCATACTTTCTCAATCTAATGATTCGATAGAGAAATTGGCGGCTCATGTTTCCTGTAGTCATAAAATCATTGAATTACAGTCAATGAGTTTATCGATTTTCATTCGCTTCAAGCTTTATACCTTGTCGAAAACAGCCAGATGTAGGAAAATAGTCAGAATTCTACTACAGTGGCCGAAAGGTAAATGGAGATTCAAATGCTTCGGTTCCAATTCGAATTTCCAAGGTTCGCTTGATATGACATCGCTATGGGCCAACAAACGCTCTAAACGACTGATTCTTATCAGCAAGGAATTCATCCCACGCTACGTTGGTGCAAACAGCTTGATCAACGGCTAGCAAGTGCTTGATTTTTGAGTATGCTGTTGTTGTACAGTCTTATCAGAATGGGCGAGAGAGGTAGTGCTTTCCGACACGAGCGCTTCCTGAGGGTAGCATTCACCTCGACCCACTCGATAGCCTACTATCCAATGTGATCATCAGCACAAACTGTAAATCCTGTTGTTGCTGCCGTTGTTGGAATGCTTATTTCGAACTCGTCTGCAGGCTGCAGCTTGTCGCACCACCCTTGTTTTTGGTTCGGCTCTGCTGTAGTCTTTCAAGCAATGGCTATCACGGTTGGAAGAATGTTCTCTATGGTCTCTACATTATTGTGGTTCCAATCTCCTGATTAAAACGTTTAGAACAAGTTGCCTCGATCTGTTAGTTCTTTGCCGAAAGTTGCTAGCAAAATTATGCGAAAATCCTGTGTTCATGCCTACCGCAAACCCATATTTGTTTTAGACGGTCAGAAATTTAGTTTTTAAACTGACTCTTCCAAGGCCATATTTCATGGGAGTATTGTAATGATCTTTGCTTCTAGTCATATAAGGAGCCATTTGAGCCGGGCACGGCTCTCCGGTATCTGAGTACTTGCAGTAATATATATAACCTACACCTGTAATTAACCTATTTTAAATTTTTGTCTCCGAACTAGGTGTAGCAATGCGCTTATGAGTTTACGAGCAGAATATGCTTAGGATGCTCTTTCTATTTCGTACCTTCGCTTCCTAGATGTCTGATAACCGGTTTTGCGGTTCTTAAGAGGAAACGCCTCATTTCGATGTTTGTCTCTGCTAACGAAACGAACACCGCGCTGCTCTGAGCCCTTCTCTGGTTACCGTTCGTAAGACGATGTAATTTGACTAGTTGTTGTTGCTGCGGCTGAACCACTACTCGCTTAGCCGGTTCCAATGATGCTCAGATCTGTGGATCACTCGTAATGCCCCCCCCCCAAATTCAACAGGTCCTTCTTCCATCGTTTGTACCTACATACTGCCGGCCCAAAAACCACTTCAACGTCACCGTTGACAGTTTCCACTTAGGCCTCACTACGTAATTCGACAAGTAACTTCGCTTCCGTGTAATCGAGCGTCTTTTGACGGACGGATCCGGACAGCTGCTGCTGACGTGGCCAGAAGAAACGGAATCTCCGAGACGTGGAATTGAATTTCTGGCAAACAGCTTATACTGAAAACGACAATCCGTTGCTTGGCATCGCACACATGGATAGACGCTCGCAGCAGCACCCGCTTTTCGTTTAACACTTGAATAAACAAACTGATGTTTAC